TCACGGTATACAAGCCGTGGTTAGCGCGATTAACCCATATTTGTTTCAAAAACACAATTTATGAGCCATCCTCTCAACTGTAACAGTAGATTGTAAAGGAAATATAGTACAATCAGTCCAGTTAATTTGCTGAAGGTTGCTCTCCTCCCCTTCTCTCATGACACCACGTCATTGTGCGTCTTGAGTAACAGCGCAGTAACGGTATGCTCGGAAATGATAACGGCGTGTATAGGGACTGTCAAAGTAATTTAGTTGATTAATCGTTACTGAAAAAAGAACGGCGTTAGTACACGCCGTTACTAGAACGCCGTTAGTCCATCACTGCTTTCTGATGTTGTGTCTGTGAGCACTGGTGTCTCCTCAGGATGTATCGGAGATCCTTTGCTTTTTTACTTTGTAGCACTCACGAGTGTGTGTCCTCCTCTGACGCAAACATGATCTTCAAATATCTGATGACACCACCATCACGTCTCAAGCAGTGACAATGATGAATCCTCTTATAGAGCAGAGATCGAACATTGTTTCAGTGGAGTGAAGTAAACATTCTCCAGCTGAAACACATGCACAAACATGTGAACTTGTCTTTGAACTTCCAGTCATAGCAGTTCCACAGTGCTCCTTAGTTATTGACAACATCTCCCAGGTGCAGATCGTAGAGGAGTGAAAGTTCCTGGGTTTACACTCTGTCATAACGACCTGAAATGGGACAAAAATACTTAAAACCGTCGTTGAAGAAAGCACGTCACGCTCTTTCTTTTTTGCGGAAAACTTAGAGAATTTACCACTAACTCTAAGATTCTGCTAACTTTTGAAGTTGCAACACTGAGAGTTTACTTATTGGTTTCTGTGTCTGTGTGGTTTTTGGTAACATCACAGATAAGAAAAGAGAGCGTATAACAAGGTGCTAACCGCTCTGCAAAGAGGACCGTGGGCTGTGGCTTTCCCTGTTCGGAGGTTCTTTATAAATCCAGACTTTAAACAGAGCTCTTAGGATTGTTTTTGAATCTTCTGGGCCACCCTGGAAAGCCAGGTTTCCAGCTTCTTCCTCTGCAGAAGATATCGGTCGCTGAGATGCAAGACATCTCGCTATGCTAACAGCCGTCTTCCACAAGCTGTTTAGGTGACTAAACAGAGCACCTTAATATCCTGCTTTTTACCCCTTGTATCGTTTTGTGATCGTGCCACAGTGTCAGCTGTTTTTTTAATTCTTTTTATATTCATGTATGTGTATTATAGATTACATTGTATCGTGTTCTTTATTTCAGTCGGTGCACACAGAGACCTTTCTTTGCAATGTATCCAATTAGTTTTGTATACTGCACTTGGCTAATAAATGAATCTGATCTGATCTGAGGGTTCTTTTGATTCTGGTTTTGAATCTGCAGCGCAGAAATCCTCCAAAGCGAGATCAACGTGATCAAGAAATGATCAGACAGCGACAGAGCTTTGACGCAGGACGACAATATGGAAACCTTACTACCGAGGTCGGACAAGGTCCTAAGTGTGGTTATAATGTGAGTAGTTCCGCAACCAGTCTGAGTAAACCAACACCATCTAGTAAGCGCTAAAAGCTTTGTAAAGCCAAAGTTCCAAGCCAGTTTCAGAAGGGCCGCTGTGGCTGCACAGACCCACGTCGAAGCCAGAGCAGACTCCTCCCATTTCTTCAAATATTCAGGTTAAAGGCGCTATAAGAACCCGTTTCTTCTGCAATGTTGGAATGTTTAGCACCGCCCCCCACTCGCTCAAATGGCTTCTCAATTTCCCCTACGCTCGCATCCCACGAGCCCACCTAGTTTTAATTTCGATCTGATACGTATGCAACATAGCATTAGCGCAACCTTGTAAGCTGTGCAACAATCACTATGAAATGGCACTAAAGCAAAGCAGTGCTAACACAATATATAAGTAAAAAGAATACCATTAGTTCTTCGCAAACCGTATGTATTATTTAAACAATAGAATATAATTCTAATATTTAATTATAATTTATTATACAGCGCCTCACAAGCAGCAGTAGAACACTCCATTGACTCACTTGAATGCAATTCTTCCGATCATTTCTGATAACAGAACTCTCAAACCAATAATGACCGGCAGCCACAATGCAAATCCTGTTTGTAAATTCAGTGTGTAAATACTGCCATTAACATTGCAAGTACAACACGTGCGAATCAGCGCCTGTCCTACATGTCAGGTTTTTTCTGCACACTTGTCTGTGTAGAGAAGCTTGCGGAGCTAGCCACGCTCAATAAATAACAACTACATATCAATCCATCACACCATTAAACGTCAATCGGACAATACAGTACACATATACATCCCTTATCTACACAAGCACGGATCCACGATTTCAGAATTGCTGTAAACGTTTTCAATGACAAAAAATACTGTTTTAAGTGACAAAAAGCGATTGGGACAAACTCCGGAAGTTTATCCATGAAACAGCTAGCTAGCTTAGCTGTACCTGCCTAGCAACGTCCTGGAAACCTTTGGAGCTACCTATTTTTATTTTGCAGTCATTTAAATACATGTCTAAATTATAAAGGGTTGTCCTAATATTTGTTCAAGATATGTATATATTTTTTATTTTAGAATTATATTGGAATTTTGAAGTCGAAGCCACTGTGTTTCATCAGCGCTGTAAGGGGCTAGAGACTGCAGGCTGTCGCTCTCGTTCTGTGAGCGGAGGGAGAACAGCGGCCCGCTCAGACTCTACTCAGCACTTTTTCACTGCCTGAATTTCATAACACAGTGGAATCAATCGACCTAAGTTTTCAATAAATTATGTATTATGATACAACTTGTAGTAGTAAAAAGCATTTTATGATGAACTACTTAGAAAAAAAAGATTGGGTATAAAGCTTCTTTAAGACTGAGCCTTACTTGAGAAATGGGTTGAGTCTGCTCTGCCTCCTGCTGGTCTGATAGAAAACCTGCAGCCACACGGCCCTTTCGGACACCTCGGTGTTTTAAGCTGTCAGTGCTGTCCGTCCACATGTATATTGAATCGCCAGTTAATAACTGTTTCCCATTCAGAACAGGGTTGGAAATGAAGTCAGAGAATTCTGTAGGTAACTCACTGTAAAGGACAGGAGGTTGGTAGAAAACTATTAATAACACCGCTTTTTGTTGGCTCCATCCAGGATACGGTGATTGAAAGTGTGGTTTTCAAACAAGGGGGGCGCTCTCGTGAGCAGCCGCATGTAAACTGTATCAATCGTTGCTCTACAGGCTATCGCTCAAATTTTCTTTAATAATGTGTGACTACTATCCTGAAATGTAATGTTACCTACCATCGTCCTGCTACCTCACTTTAACGGCGGGACGGCGTGAACATCTCTTTTGCTTGTCTGATCCAGAAGTGCAAAAAGTCGGAATCTGCTACAGCTGCGGCCACCAACGCTGCATCACTGGACCCAGATAAGCTAATGGGCTGCTATAGCTAGCTCGAAAAGAAATGTGTTGGCAAAGATTACTACCTTGTTAAATATGTGGAAGGCCAAGTGCCAACAGTGTATGCACAATCGAACTCCCTCGAGAATCACTTCTGGAAAGCTTTGAAGGTGTCCGTACAGAACTGTGTGGCGTAAGATTGACTTGCTTAAGCGGCTAGCTTCTCTGACCACCAGGCCTCGGCTAACTAGCTTGGAAGCTGCTACAACCAGTGAGGGGAGGGTCCCAGCTCAAAAGTGGCCAAAATGAATGTGACATGCTTGAATACCAACCCGGGGGCCGATGGGGTGGAAACCAATGCTAACAGGATAAGCATTGCAGACCCCTCAAAAACGTCTTACAGGATGGACCAAAAGTTGGCTCTTGGCCCAAAGTTCCGTGCCAATGTGGTGTCATGCTGAGGGGTGATTTTTTTTGTCCACTCTAGTTTAACCTTGCTTGTGAATTTTGAAGTCTCTCGTTCAAATGTATTGGAGTTGCGCCGGCTGATGCTTGCGCAGATGCGTTTTTTCACAATTTTCTGTGGGCAGACAGGACCACTCGCGGAAGCCATTTTGGATGCTCCAGTAGAGCACATTTTTTGCCCATTAGTTAGAACGGCGAGATTAGGCGGACTCTGTACAGTCCTTTTGTAATTCAGCATATGAATAGTTTAGTCGCAAAAACAGATAAGTGCCATTAGTAAAATATTTGAAAGGATTGCAATTTGGCCCGTTACCAGGTATATTTTAATATACCTGGTAAGCAAATTCTGCACAAATCTACTGCCAATAGAAAACTATATTGAAGATTTTAGCAAAATGAACACAACCTTTTTACACAATTTCTAGACGGAGATATCTGTTTTTGTAAAAGAATTCTTCATAAGGTCAGGTACGTCACAGTAAGATTATCCATGTGTCTTTGCTATAAACATTTATGGACATTCGTCGTCTTCTGATTATGGACTAAAAGCTTTGTGTTTTTGTTTGATTCTCTAATCTGTGTTGGCAAATCAACAACTTTGTAAAGTCCTCCGAGATGACGACTGTTGTAATTTGGGTCTATATTGAATTGAATTGAAAAAATGGATGTTATCGTGGTTATGACCGATATTTGTTAAGCCCGAGTCCCAGCAGGAGGCCAGCCCCTGTGCTCCTCTGAGTCCCAGCAGGAGGCCAGTCCCTGTGCTCCTCTGAGTCCCAGCAGGAGGCCAGTCCCTGTGCTCCTCTGAGTCCCAGCAGGAGGCCAGTCCCTGTGCTCCTCAGAGTCCCAGCAGGAGGCCAGTCCCTGTGCTCCTCTGAGTCCCAGCAGGAGGCCAGTCCCTGTGCTCCTCTGAGTCCCAGCAGGAGGCCAGTCCCTGTGCTCCTCTGAGTCCCAGCAGGAGGCCAGTCCCTGTGCTTCTCAGAGTCCCAGCAGGAGGCCAGTCCCTGTGCTCCTCTGAGTCCCAGCAGGAGGCCAGTCCCTGTGCTCCTCAGAGTCCAACTTGGTTCATATGGAATTAGCTTAACCTGCTTTGCTGCTTCTTCACCTTTTTCTCTTGACCTAACCTTCTCCACGCTCCTGGTATGATGGCTCCTCCCTTCGTCCCTGTGCCCCTCCGTCCCTGTGTCCCTCCGTCCCTGTGTCCCTCCGTCCCTGTGTCCCTCCGTCCCTGTGTCCCTCTCCCCCTGACAGGAGCCTCTGACGTGGGCTGGTATGAGACGGTGGTGACGGTGGAGAAGGCCCCTGGTTCTGCTGACAGATGGGGCCTGACAGTCGTCTCCGGTGTGGCCTGCTCGAGGTCCTGACGCCCATCCTGTGTGACAGACGCAGCTCTGCACTTCCTCACGCATCAATAACACATTATGCTTCCGCTGTCGGCCGCAGTCACACGCAACCTACTTTAGCTCAGGTACATTTGAACCTGTGCTCGACGGAAGTGAAGTACGAGAAGATCCAAAAACACATGTCGAAGACGGTCTGTTGAGCACGAGATAATTTGTAACTGTATAAAGTGTTACAAAGTTTAAGTTCAATGTGTTTTTAAAATGTGGGACCTCAGGAAGACTGAGAACGCTGAGAGGACGCTGGGGGGAGCTCATAGGGATCCAAATGAATACATGAAATATGCAGTGTACATGTGAGAAATATTAATGTACATTCATTTCATTCATACTTAATTTACAGAAACTACCATTTTATAGAATAGACCTATTCTTTAGGTTTCCTTAAACTGGCCAGTAGGGGGCGAATGGGCAGAGATGGGACAGCTCAGTTTTGCTCCCATTGAAAACCATGTAAAGTCTGTTTTGGAGTCAAAGGCTCTCCTCCTGTGTGGTGTACGGTTGTTGGAACAGTCTTAATCGGGGACGCTCAATTCTAAGGGAGGACTAAAACATATTTCTCAAAAGAATCTTGATTACGGGGTTTAAAAAAAAAAAGAAAAACAGAAGATATTGCTGCGTTTCATTGGGGTGGCCTGCAGGGGGCGCTTATCTGGGAAAGCCTTGATCCACCTCGCCTGCCTCATTCCAGTGATTTTTTCAAAGTGTCCTCCTTTATATGAGACCACAGTTGGAACATGAACAAACTCTTGTCTTTCTCTCCATTTGCGCGGTTGCTACAAGCGTACACCGCACAAAAAGATGGATCAACGACAGCGATTCTTCTTCTACTATATCTCCGTGTATAAACCCGGCAGACTGCACCGCCAGGGTACATCACGTCCTGTCTACGTTTGTTATTCACTGCCCTGACGTCCAAGAATGAAACCCAAGAATTGCAGCAAAGTGGCATTTTTCACACCCTCTGAGCCAAATGTCTTGTTATTGAGAAATAAAGTCTTGACTTATCTCACTTTGCCTCTGATGAGTCTTTCATGTCTTAGTTTCACATTCTAAGTAGCGTCACATGGTTTTTACAGGCGGCACAGTGGCAGAGTGGTTAGCCTGAGTCCTGGATCTACAGTCTGTGGGAGCAGATCTCTCTCTCTGTATGGACTCCCTGGGGTTTTCCATTTTTTTCTCACTGTTCTGTTGCTTCTGAGTGGTTCCTTGCAGATGCCTGGTCGGTCTATGAACAATGATGATCCGGGACATTTGAGAACATTTATGGAAACTGATGGACCATGGTCTTCCCGCTCTCTATGGACCAATGTCTTTGTTAGTACTGTTTTTTCTGTGGTCAAACTCTTCTCTGATCTGCTGTCGAGTAATCAACAACTTTGCGAAGTCCTCTGAGACGGCTGCTCTTGTGATTTAGTCCGATACAAAAATATGTTGAATTGGATTAGTACTCTCGCTTCACAGCAACAGGGTCATGGGTTCGATTCCTCCTCCAGACAAGGCCTTTCTCACTGGAGCTCTCACTGGAGATCTCCCAGTGTGTGGGTGTAGGTTTCCTCCAGGTGCTCCGGTTTCCCCTCACACTAAAAACAGCGACCTTTCTCTCTGGGGAATCTCTAGTGGGACTTTCCGTGTTACTTAAAGGTCAAAGTTTATGTTTAAAAGGAAATATAAAGAGTGGTTTTTGATGAAACATGAAAAACAAGTGGTTTAGATTGAAATCGAAGTTGTTCTGTTTGTTTGATGTTTGTATTTAGTCTGACTCCAACGTGAGCGAGAAGAACGAGGAATCAAAGATGTGTCATAGATACAGATGAAGAAAAGGCGTGGGATTGGATTTGCTTCTTCCCACACTTTGCAGATGTGGAACTTACACCTTTGCACTTGCAGCTTGTGAGATTGTTGCTCGTCGCTCATATTTTAAATGAATATAAAATTAAAATTGCATAAAGTTCCACCTGTTTTTAGGACAACAAGCACACACAGCAACAAGGGTATGGGGTAAGGTTACTGTCAATAAAGACGTGCATGTCTAAAAAAAATGCGTGCATATTTATTGGTATTTGTGCATAATTTATTTTTATGAATTCATGATTAAGATAATACAAACTAAAAAGACATGGAATTTCGTAATTAAGAATAAAAAAATATAAAACTGTATGTGTGATTTCGTTCTTGTGAATACGATTCTTTTTTGTGTGCTTGCATTTTCTTTTAGAGAATACGAATTTCAGCAGTGAGCAAACTGTCAATAATACGTCACTGCTCACAGACATTAACAATCGAGCCTGCGCAGAGTTGCTCATGGCAGAGGGAAACAACATTAACAATTTGGCTCAAAATCAGGTAAATAACTATATTTGATAATTTTGGTCGTAAATAAATGTGTAGGAAATATTAATTCCATAAAATGTGTTCATAAGATGTTTCTTGTCCCTCTCTAGAAACGTTTTTTTAGGCAGTGTTTAGTTAACACTAGCTTCAAGGCTAGTTTTACAGCTTACCATGTTATTTTAAAACCAACATTTTTACATTCTTAGCAGTTACATTTTATGAAGCCTTTGCCCCAAATCAATGTGGTTAAAGTGTTGATACCAGCCCCAACCCTCCAGATTATTCATAGTTCGCGCTGTTACTGCCCCTGAGCAATACGAAGTTCACCTCCGTGCTTTACTCATCCTTGGTTGTTAGACGTAGCAGACCCTGTCCCTGTGGACCTCAATCTTATATTTGTACATTTGACACATTACTTTTACTCACTAGTTCAGTAAGACTAGTTAGTCTGTTGTTTAGACTAAAATAAATGCATTATTTTCTGTAGAATAAAACAATATAAGGATAAGAAAATAAAACGAGCATTGGAGCTAACAACACTGCCAAAAAACCTTTAGAGGGACAAGAAACATCTTCTTATGAACACATTTATGGAATTAATATTTCTTACACATTCATTTACAACCAAAATGATAAAATATAGTTATATACTTGATTTTGAGCCACTTTGTTTATGTTGTGTCCTTCTGCCATGTTTAGTTTTTAGGCAATGAAGTTGATCAACTCTGTGCAGGCTCGATTGTTAATGTCTGTGAGCAGTGACGTATTATTGACAGTTTGCTCACTGCTGAAATTCGTATTCTCAAAAAGAAAATGCAAGCACACAAAAAAAAATCGCATTCACAAGTACAAAATCACACATAGTTTTATATTTTTTTTATTCTTAATTACGAAATTCCATGTCTTTTTAGTTTGTATTATCTTAATCATGAATTAATAAAATATTTGTATGCACAAATACCAATAAATATGCACGCATTTTTTTTAGACATGCACGTCTTTATTGACAGTAACCTTACCCCATACAAGGGATTTGAAAATACTGGAATTAGACTAAATGTAGAGTTTGTCCGTCTACAAACAAGATTTGCCAACGGGAGAAGCAGAAATGTATTGTTTATAAATGAGACAAGAAGATTCTCCCTTGTGCCTTCGGGAAATCTGTTTTTGTATTAAGTCAAAAATCATTAAAATTCAAGATTTAATAAACACTCCCTTTATGCATTCATGACCTTATTTTGTGTCTGTGTTTCAGTTTGTGTGCACTGGGAGAGACCCAAGGTATAGAGAAGGATTTTCCCAAATTCTTGGAAAGGACCGCTCTCTCCACAAACTCTCTGGTCTTATTGGACGAGCAAGTATCACCAGAATGATTGACAGTTAGGAGGACCAATAGTCTTGATGATCCACCCAGAAGTAGAAAATCCTGCTATACACCTTTAAGTCTTGTGATCTTCTGCTTCAGTTGGATGTTTAGTCGACTTTGAGGACTTGCAAATGCATTTTCTTTCGGCAATAATATCGACTGATTTCCATATATCTTCTTCCGCTGCAAAACTTTTTATTTCTGATGTTTAGACCGAAACACGACGCCCTCACCCTAAAATAACTTCCTTAAAACATGTGAGCATGTGAAAGAAAGTGGCCGGTCCCAAAGTCGTGAGGTTCACCTTTCGTGCTCAAAATAAACGTCCAACAGAAGAGAACGAGGTGCTTTTCTTGTGGCTGGTGCAGAAATCATGTGGGAGTAATTAATAATGGCTGTTTCTATTTATAACTTGATTTTAGTGCGAGGAGGAAACAGGGCGGGGCACGTCCAGAGGCGGAGGCTGAGGGAGAGACTCAGGCAGAGAGAGAGGCTGAGGCTGAGGCTGAGGCTGAGGGTGATCCAGAGGCTGAGGCTGAGGCTGAGACAGAGGCAGATACAGGGACAGGAACAGAGGCAGATGCAGAGGCAGAGACAGCGAGAGAGGCAGAGACTGAGACTGAGACAGAGGCAGAGACAGAGGCAGAGACTGAGACTGAGACAGAGGCAGATACAGAGGCAGAGACAGCGAGAGAGGCAGAGACTGAGACTGAGACAGAGGCAGAGACAGAGGCAGAGACAGAGGCAGAGACTGAGACTGAGACAGAGGCAGATACAGAGGCAGAGACAGAGGCAGAGACAGGGACAGGGACAGAGGCAGATGCAGAGGCAGAGACAGAGGCAGAGACAGAGGCAGAGACAGGGACAGAGGCAGAGACAGAGGCACACACCAACTGTAATGCGTCAAAGTGTGAGCTGAAATTGCAGTATGAACAACTCTTCATCACTCCCTGTTTGAACTTCTGGAACAAAAGCATCCCACTGTCCCTACTTTGGTTTGAACTACAGTTACTCCTACAGGACTCTCCCTGGCCCTGCGACTTCTGTTAACAAAAACAAAAAAGGAAAAAAAACATGTATTGTACGATATTTCAGATCCACTTTCTGCGATGAATCAGCCGCAGTTTGACAAATAACACAGTCAACTACACAAAAGAGAATAAGGATTTTACAGTACCTTGCCAAAGTATTAACACAGTTTTATATTATTATTATGATCCTTTATCTCTTTGTTACTTATGTGTGAACTTGCAGTAAACAAATCCAAACAAAATCATTAGGTTTATGGATGTAAACAGGACCAAATGTGTAAAAGTCAAGATAAGATACACTTCATTGATCTCGCACTAGATCAAAACATTTACAAAAGTTCCATGTGTATTAGTTTTAGTACTTTTTGAGAGACACTGTATATTCCTCCAGCAGCGTTTTGCCTTTTATTCCAGGTCTCTCTCTCTTCTCTCTTTCAGTGACATTTGCTTCAGCTCTGAACAGTTGTAGAATCTATTAGCCCCAACGCCCAGACTCCAGCTCCACCGCATGTCAAACTCTGCTACGTTTTTATGACAGTATTTACCAAACAACATCTACCGCACTGTGG